TTAAAGGCAGAAAGGAAGGAGATGTTACATTCAATCAAGCCCCTCGCTCCTTCTCCCGCAGAATCCTAATTTGGGGACGATGGTTTTCCGTTGCTTCCCGGGAGAGCCCAGCTCCGCTCAGCCAGGGCTGGGGGACTCCATCGGTCCTTCCTGCTGCCTGGGGGGTGGGGTCCGGGGGACCGAGACAGAGAACGGGCTGAGAAGATGGAGACTGGGGGCCGGTGGGGGCCTGGGAATCAGGGAGGGGCAGAGTCCTCCCAGCTTATTTCATCTTTTCAGGAAGAAAATCACTCAGCGTCGCCCCTGGAACTCGAGCCACTTGAAGCAAACACAAAGTGCCCCAGTGGCACCCCAGGGAACTGTAGCTCCCCTGAGTTCTTCCAGAGCCCGCCTCCAGGGGGCGCTCGCATCCGCTTTGGAAAATCGAGCCCTTTGAGGCTGCTCCTCTAGAATCTTCTAGAACTGGGTTCATCACTCTGTGACCTTGGGCAAGCCCCCGGTGGCCTGCGACCCAGCTTCCCCATGTGAGGGATGGGGGCTGCGGGGATCCTGACGCTTCATGTGAGAGCTGGGGGCTGGGGTACAGAGAAGAGAGTGGCTGGGGGCGAGGAGGGGCACCTCGTTCCTGAAGGGGATTGTGTCCCACCCACGAAGTGAAGCCTAAAGCCGAAGCCCGCCCCACTCTGAGTCTGGGGGTCTGCAAGGCCCTGCCGCCAGCCTGAGCGAGGGAGGCAGGGTAGGGGAGGAGGGCTCAGGGGAGGGACTTACCCCTGTGATTCAGGCAAACCCGGTGGAGGCTGAGGGGTGGCAGTGCCCGGTGCGGCTGTGTGAGTCCTGGGCAGGCCACAGGCCCTCCTGATCGCAGTACTGTCACCTGTCAGCGGGAGGGCGTGGGCCAGGCGCAGAGACTAACCAAGAGATGGTGTGGATTCTTAAAAAGAAAAAGTGTACGAGCAGCAAAGCTCCAGTTCTCCCCTTGTCCCTCCTTTGCGCCAGGCTGGGCTCACATGCCCCCACGCCCCTCCCAGTTCTGGAGCAATTGTAGAAAGGAAGCAATCACCTCCTCCCAGAAGCCTCCTCTGATTGCCTCAGGCTGGGTGAAATGCCTCCTCTGTCCCGGCCTAGGCCTTAGTCCTGCATTCCGCCCCATGAGACCCTGAAAGTTTTTCCACTTTTAGACTGTTCCTTTGTTAGAAAGAGATCGGCAGCCCCCAAAGCTGGGATTCTCTGGATGCACATGTCCACAGGAGTCAGGCCTTGGATTCAAGTCCAGACTTGGCCGTGTGGTGCTGAAAGGGTGATTGCCCTGTGCTGGGCCCCAGCCACCTCCCCTGAGCGAGGGGACCCGCAGCTCAGAGACGGAGAGGGCTGAGGGACCCAGAGCAGCACCTGCAGGGTCTTCTGCATCACAAACAGCCCAGCTGACACGGGTTGTGATGGCATCATGCACTTGGCACAGTCCCGAGACTTCACAGACAGCCTGGCCCAGGGCTCCAGCTCGCTCTAACTGTGACTCTTCACCCAAGAAAGCAACCTGGGTGAGCAGTGCCAGAGACATTGGTTTTGCTTTTTGTTTCTGGACCATATCCGGCGATGCTCAGGGGTTCCCCCTGGCTCTGTACTCAGGAATCACTCCTGGGGGGTGGAGCTATAGTACAGTGGGGAGGGCATTTGTCTTGCATGTCTTGTCTGACCTGGGTTCGATTCCCAGCATCCCATATGGTGCCCCAAACAATGTACTGTAGCACTGCCCTCCCGTTGTTCATCGATTTGCTCTAGCAGGCACCAGTAATGTCTCACAACAAATTGTGAGACTTGTTACTGTTTTTGACATATCGAATATGTCACGGGTAGCTTGCCAGGCTTGGCCGTGCGGGCGAGATGCTCTTGGTAGCTTGCCGGGATCTCTGAGAGGGACGGAAGAATCAAACTCGGGTCAGCTGTGTGCAAGGCAAACGTCCTACCCGCTATGCTATCGCTCCAGCCCAAATAATGCCAGGAGTAATTCCTGAGTGCCAAGCTAGGATTAACCTCTGTGCATCACCAGATGTGACCCTAGAAGCAAAAAAAAAAAAAAAAAAAAAGGGAATCACTCCTGGTGGTGCTCAGGGACCATATAGGCTGTGAGGGATCGAACTTGGGCCAGTCACATGCAAGGCAAAGGCCCTCCCCGCTGCACTATCGCTTCAAACCCAGTGCCAGAAACATTTGGGCATCATGCTGAGGTTGATTTTGAATTAATTTTGAATTAATTTTGACGTTTGCCTTGCACACACAAATTAATGTTTGGTCACTGTGAATTTGGAAACCTTTTACACAGGCCAGAGAGAGAACGAGAGAGAGTGCTGGGTTCACGGCACTGGCCTGGTTGCACAACGACTGACCTGGTTGGCCTCACTTAGGGTCTCCTGAGCAGAGAGCCAAGAGGAAGTCCTAAGCACAGTCAGATGTGCCTCCCCTCCAAAATAAAAGACACTCCCAGACCTTTTACTGTTGTCAGATTCTTCCTGACCTCTGTATTCAGTGGGACTTCATATAGGGTTGAGATCCAGAGCTTCAGAAGCTGGAGTCTAAAGTACCTCCTTAATAGTTGTTCGTATGGGGTGGCGTTATGCCCAGCAACATAGCTTAGTGGACAAGCACTTCTCTTGCCTGTGGCTGACCCAGGTTTGATCCCTGGCACCCTGTATGGTCCCTGAGCACCTCCAGGAGTGAGCCCCCCCAAATTATGAGTATAGGGCCGGGGAGATGTCAAAGGACTGATCACAGGGTTTGCATGCAAGAGGCCAAGGTCCGACACACCACATGGTCCCCTGAGCACTGAACCAGAAGTAGTTCAGTTCTCACAGGGGTGACTAAAACATAACAAACAGAATTCTCTCTCTCTCTCTCTCTCTCTCTCTCTCTTTGCTTTTTGGGTCACACCCAGCAATGCTCAGGGGTTACTCCTGGCTTGTGCGCTCAGGAATTACTCCTGGCGGTGCTCGGGGGACCATATGGGATGCTGGGAATCGAACCCAGATTGGCCACGTGCAGGGCAAACACCCTACCCGCTGTACTATCGCTCCAGCCCCACAAACAGAATTCTTAGTACACGTTGGAATTACACTTTTTGATATCTTAGGGTAAATACAATAGATAATTAATTTCTTGTTTTAAACTTTTGGGAAGAAATGTTATCAAAAGGGAGAGGAAAGGAAACACTCGGACCGAGTGATAGCACAGCAGGGAGGGCGTCTGCCTTGCACACAGCTGATCCAGGTTCGATCCCCAGCACCACATTTGGTCCCCTGAGCACCGCCAGAAGTAATTCCTGAGCACAAAATCAGGAGTAATCCCCGAGCATCGCCAAACGTGGCCCAAAAATGGAAAAAAAAGAAAAGAAAAAGAAAAGAAAAGAGAAGAAATAAAACACTCTGGAGATCCCAGGTTTCCCCAGAGAGCAGAGGACCCAGGAAGTGAAACAAACCATACACCTCTATGGCGAAGGGGCCATCCTGGAGTGGGGTGCATTTTTTTTCTTTTGTGGGGGGCTCTCAAGCAGTGCTCAGAAGGTCCAGTGACCTCGCTGGCAAGTCTAGCTCTGGGTTTGGAGGAGTGAGATGATTCTGTAGGATCCGTTTATTGACTCTTTCCTTTTTTCATTGCTCACAGCTGGTTTGCAGGAGGTGGTCAGGGCAGCTTCCTGGAGGAGGTGGTGTTTAGACATGGGCAGGGGGAGGTGGAAGCCATGCAGGAAACAGGTGGACACGTGCAAGGAGCCTACCCAGGCCAGGATGAAGGGAGAGAGGGACGGACAGGAGCTGACCCAGAGGTCTTGGCAGCTACCGCCCCCTTGCTGGTTCCTTCTCGTGGGGATGTGGGGGCCATTAGGGTTTCAGGATCTCCGGGGAAGAAGGGGCAGGACTCCATGAACTTTTCTTGCAGCTGCGCTAAAAAGGGACAGTCGGAAGCCGGGAGGGAGCACAGAGGGATGAGGGGGACCAAGGGAACAGGGCTGGGGGCGAGGGAGGGCGGGGAATGGCAGATTCTGGAGTGTTCTGGAATGTTCTGCAGGTGGAACCCCCCAGGGCCTGACTAGGGAGGGGGTGAAAGAACAGCTCTGAAGTTTGGGCCTGAGACTCGCACGGACAAGGGTGACTCTGTTCCTCCTCAAGGCCCCGCTTTCCAGAACCTTCTCCCACACGCCCAGCAGCTCAGTCCTGGGACCCGGCAGGGTTTCTTTTAGCCTGGTTTCTGGAGCAAGGCTCCATGTGAGCAGAGCGTGGAACCTTCCAGATGCAGGCAGTGGCAAGCCCGTCTTCCCATCGCACCGAAGACTGGGGACCCCAGAGCAGGACCGACCTCCTCACACCTTCCTGCTCAGACTCGCTCTGTGTCTGGGAGCTGAGGGCACAGGCTGGCCCTGTGGAGTGCTGCCGGACCCCCTCCCAGTCCATGATGGCCCCCTGGGAAGGGGAGGGAATTGCGACCCTGAGTCAGGCCTGTGCTGGGAGGCAGGTAGGCCCCGGGGAGGCAGGTGACACTCCCGGGAGGAGGATGTTCTCTCCCCGAGGCTGGAGGCTGCTGCTGGGGTGGATCTCCTGGGGGGCCATGCAGGGGTGGGTGCAGGGGGTGGGGGGTGGACCACGGCTGTGTCCAGGCCAGACAAGCCTCAGGGTCCTGCCTTGCCCCTGGCCTTCCTCGGCTCTGAGGGACTGGCTGGGCTCCGTGGAGCAGGGGAAGAACATTCTAGGGCAGCAGGGAGGGAAGTCAGGGGATTCCCAGGACAGAGGAGACTCCGGCGTGGTTCTGTCCGCGGGGAGCCAGGTGGTCATGAACCGAGAGTGGACCGAACGACAGGAAAGGGTCAACCAGGCAGCCACTGCGCTCATGCCTCAGTTTCCTTGCTGCAGCCAGGGCGGTGAGGCATCGGGCCCCACCCTCTCCCACCCCCCCACCCCTGGCTCTGCCCCAGGCCGGTCTTCCTGCCGACATGGCTGCATCCCCCCCCCCCCCAGCCTTGTTCACAGAGACGCCCCACGACATGACAGCGCGCACGGGCGAGGACGTGGAGATGGCCTGCTCCTTCCGCGGCAGCGGCTCCCCCGCCTACTCGCTGGAGATCCAGTGGTGGTACGAGCGCGGCCGCAGGGACTGGGCGGACAAGCAGGCGTGGGCCTCCAACCAGGTACGCCGGCCGGGGGTCGCCCGCCTCTCCTTCCGCCCCTCAGAACAAGGCCTTGTGTCCGGCTCGGGCACTGGGGGGAGGGGTGGTGCCCACAGGAAGGGCCTCCAGAGATCCCGCAATGCAGGGAGGGAAACCGAGGCCAGGGCGACGGGCTCTGCTCGGGTCACTGGGCAGGTGGGGCTCCTGAGTTCACTCGGCCACTGCTCCCAGCTGCACGGGCGCCATGTCCCGTAGGGACTGTGTTGGCACTGACCCCCACACCCAGGTAGGCCCTGTCCCCTCACACCCATGTCCCCCCACATCGGGGCAGGCACTGTCCCCCCACGCCCTCTAACCTATACAAACTCTCCTTAAGCACGTGATTCTGGGGGCAGCCCCCCCCACCTCAGGGCTTCTGTGTGCCCAGGTAGGGAGGCCAGGGTGAGTTGTACGGCCATGCACAGGGAGCAGATGTGGGTTGTGCCCGACCCTGTCACGAACTCACTGGGGTGTGTGGCTCCAGGTGGCGAGAGACCACAGGTTCCATCCTCACCGCGGCACGGTTCCTCCAGCAGGAGCAGTGAGCCACGAGCACCCCCACCCCAGCAGCTTCCGAACAAAGGGGAAACACCAAGAGAGGCATCCCTGCAGACCCCCACACGGGCCTGGGGCCCCCAGCCCCCAGCCCCGTGCACCCCCCCACACACACGTTTCCAGCCGTTAGGCCTCTTTGGGGAGCCCCTTTCTCTTCTCTGGCTCTAACTCCCTCTCCCCCGAGTGGACACAGAGCCGAGGGCCTCCTCCCCAGCCGCAGACCCCTCATCCTCCTGCGGCCAGAATTGCAGCCTTCATGGGGGTCCCCGCCCCCTCTGCTAACGCCTCTCTCTGCTCTCTCCTCCCCCCGCCCTCCCTCCGCACAGCTAAAAGCATCTCCGCAGGAGGACGCAGGGAAGGATGCCACCAAGATAAGCGTGAGTCCGGGGACCGCTAATGGAGGGTGCAGATGGAAGTTTCTAGAAAACCTTTTAGGGAGGGAGGCTGGGGAGGGGGCGGGCGGTTTCGTTTAGCAGGGAGCTTGGGCGGGAAGACGGAGGAGAAAGCAAAAAGGAGGGGAGAAAAAAATGACCGCACTCCAGCTTTTAAAAGCTGGAGATTTTTCAAGTTCATTGAATGACAGGCACAAAAAAATGACAGGGGGAGAGAAGACACATTCGCAGCTGTCGGCCAGGGCCGCGCTCGTCCTGGGGCTGGCTCGGCGGCATTTTTCTTCGGGGGAAATCAACAGGGTTTAACGAGATGGAGCCATTTCTTTCCGGTCCCTCACAACGGACGATGGAGCCGCTCATGGTCTCTTGGGTGACCTGGGGAAGGAGAGGCGGGCCGGGGGAGTGGGCAGCCCTAGGATTTCAGCACTGCCCAGCCCCTTTTAAGCCTGGATCGATTTCATCACCGTGATGCCTCTATTCACCCATTTTACAGCCGGGACAGCTGAAGCTAAGGGGGTCAGAGATTTGCGGGAGTTGTGGCCTACTTCTGGCTGTGAGCTCCAGGAATAAGGCCCGAGCCCAGTGGGGGGTGGGCATGCAAGAGGCTGGGGGGGTGGCCCCTTTATTTTGTGAGAGGGGTCACTCACAGTCAGGCAGGACTGAGGAAGAAGGGAAGTGCGCCCGGACAAGAGGCCTTGAAGCATGGGGAGCCGTGGACGAGTGGGGTTGGCGAGCCAGGCCCCCGGGAGGCAGCATGGAGATCCCCAAGGGGGCATGTGTGTCTGGAAGGGTCATGTGATCTCTTGGGACTCCAGGGGCGGGAGGGAGTGAAAAGAGCCGAAACAGGGTGGTGGGAGGCAACTAGACAGAGCCATGGGGTGTTGTTCCACGGAGCTGAGGTGGGGGGCAGAGGCCCGGGAGGAAACTTGGGCTAGGAGTGCTCTGCCCAGCACCCTCTGCTCCGGGGCCTGGCCGGGTGGGGCCCGGGGCTCCAGATGTGTCCCTACCACGGGCCCGCCTGGCTGCTGACCGGCCCCTGCCCAGAAGCTCACGGCGAAGGCCGGACAGGCAGCCCCGTCCCCTCTCTCTCTCTCCTATGATTTTGTTGGGGGCTTTAAGGCAAAGGAGAGAATAATCTAATTGACTTAGAGGATTAGAATTCAGGCTGCCAGGCCCCACGTGCATGGAATGCAAAGATGCTAATTAGTTAAATAAAATAAATGCGCTCGGCGTGATTGGGTGCCCACTCCTCCGGCCCCAGCCCCAGCCAGCCCCCGCCAGCTGCCGCTCAGGAACCCGCAGGCAGCCGAGCCCGGGCCCCTGGCACGCGGGCTCAGGGAGGACGAAGTCGCCGGCCCGAGCAGGCGCCCACCCGCTGGGTGAGCTACGTGACCTTCTCCCCAGGGCTCTGGGCTTTGCCATCGCCGACCCGGGACCCCGGACCCCCCCAGCCTTGCCTCCTGCCCCACCTTCTACCCCCTTCCCATCTCTCAGGCCAGTCCCGGGTCTGGAAAAGTCTCTCTGTGGGTTCCACTCTCAGTTCACCCCTTTCCCTGCATCTACGTCACCCCGTTTCTGTGAGTTCAGGGATCCCCTGATGTGGTCTGACCTGCCAGCACTCACGCACAGGTGCCCTGTCTTGGGGCTCCCACATGCATCATCGGCCACAGCTCCAGGTGTGGGGGTAAGGAGGAGGAGGAAGAGGAGGAGGAGGAGGAGGAGGAGGAGGAGGAGGAGGAGGGTGTTACCTGCAGGTCTTTTATGCTGAGGTTCATATGCCCACTCCCCCACCCCCTCCCGCCATCAGCCCCATCTCTGGTTTGTTCTGGTTCCATGGAATTTGATCTGTTTGTGTCCCTTGGGGTTGGGGTTGGGGGCAGCAGGCCTGTCCCAGCACCCTGGGACCACACACAGCCTGACTCTGACCCACACACCCTCGATGCGCACCTGCATCCGGCCCTGGGCTGGACACGTGAAGGGCTCCCGGGGCTGCAGGCTGGGGGTCAGCGGCATCCGCCCAGGGCCCCAACCGACAGCTGACATCCCACTTTCAGGGGAAGAGCGTCTGGCCGGGAACTGTTGGGACTTGGTTTTTGCCAAGTACTATGGGGGCCTGTCTGCACAGTCAGTCTCCTGATGGACAGACAGACCGACAGCTGGCCACGGGGCACATGAGGTGTCAGGTTCTAGAAGAGGAAGAATGCCAGCGTCCAGGAACTGGGGTGGCAGGTGACCCAAGGAGGTTCCAGGCGGGCAGCGTGGAGCTGGCTTGGGATGGGGATGACACAGCGGGACAGCACCAGAGTCCCTTCCTCTCTGTCCCCCTGTTGTGCTCCCAGAGTCCCTGTGCTCCTCCCTGCCCCATCCCTCCCCGCTCCCATCCCCTCTCCGTGCTCTCAGGGTTGCACATGTGCGGGAAATGGACTGAGCCTGGCTGGCCTGCAGGGATGACAGTGGTCACTCCAGTGGACACTCATCATGCATTTACAAATGACAGGGCTCAGCTTCCTGGCACGGGGTCTGGGTGGGAGGTGCCCGGGACAGCAGCAGTCCAGTGGGGGACTGGGGGTCAGTTCCTGGGAGCCCCGATGCTGGCAGGGGCTCAGTCTCCGAGGGGTCCACACCTGTCGCCTAACGGTGGTGATGATGCACCATATGGCGCTGCACTGGCCGCGGTCAGTCACCATGGGGACACTTCCTGGTGAGGCCTGTGGAGGGACTTGCCGGCCAGAAACTATTCCCCTGGCAATGTGCAGAGACCCCCCCCCCCCCAAGAGCCTCATTCCCAGGGTTTAGGCGAATTCTGCTGCTGGGCAACCATTTTCAAGTGCTGGGCATCTTCCTTTCGGTCAAACCCAAGTTAATGTCCCCTTCACCAGTTTGACCAGTGCTGCAAGTAGAGATGGCCCCCAGGCTGCAGTATTTTAGACAACTGGAATTCTGCATAAGACACACAGGGCCAGGGGAGATACATTGTAACATAGTAAGTACAAGTGATGTGAAGATAAACAGTTGCAAATCAAGACGGGGAAAGTTCTCTTGGGGGCTGAGAACTTTCTGAGTGGCTTCCTGGAGGAGGCGCTGTTTGAAGTGAGCACTGGAGTGTAAGAGGAGCTGTGGAGAGAGGGATAGCTTGCCAAAGCCTGTCAGGATGAGGGTCTGAAGGATCCCCTATAAGTCACCCTGGGGAGCTACCTTAGGAAGGGCTCTGTTCTGGGGAGAAAGGGGATGCCCAGTCATCTGGGGCACTCAACAACAGACGGAGCCAGAGACAGAAATGGGGAGGGTCACAGGAGGGGGTGAAGCCCACTGGGGCCCAGACAGGAGTGGCATCGGTGGGGCTTTGGGGGAATCTGGGGGGCTGCTGGCAGCGAGGAGGCTCTGAGCATCCCCCAGGAGCTGTCGTCCAGTTGGTCACTCTTAGGAAGCCCAGGGCCACCTGCAGACAGGCCTGACACCTGGCACAGTGGGGGGTCCAGCTGGGAGGGGGGTGGGGAGGTGGGGGTGGGGCTTTCCTCCAGGCCCTGAGGGGCGGGGCAGTGCTGCAGAGTGCGCATGCGCGTTGTGCGTTGTGCGGCTTGGGCTAATTAGGTGCTTAATTGTCCCTCTCTGGTCGATGCCTGAGCCGAGATTTTGATTTACAATCGCCCTCGTGCAGGGCGGGTGAGGGGCTGGCACACCACGGGGGGGCTCTTACCAGTTGGTGGAGCAAGAGACCCACCAGTTGCTTCTTCTGCCCCCTGAGCAGGCTGGGGGGGTGAGGTGGGAGGGAGGGGCAAGGACAAACAAGGGCTTGGGCAAATCAGTGGTTCTCTGAGCCTCAGTTTCCCCACGCCCCCACCCCGGACATTGTGTGCCCAACACCCCGAGCACTGTACAGTTTCCCTGCCCTGTCCACGCTCTCAGCTACTGCGAGGGGGCATGGACCCCATGGACAGGAGTGACTGACGCTGCCAGCTCAGCTTGATGTGACTCTTGTCTCCTGTGCTGGGGGTGCCCCGGGCTGGGGGCTGCACTCTGCTTCCGGCCCACCAGCTCCCTCTTCCCCGAGCTGCTGCTGAGATTGGGGTTTCCCGGACCCCGAGCGGGATGAGCATAACTGGGGTCCGGCTGGTTCGCAGACCCCCGGGCCCAGCTCAGAGGAGGCGGCCCCAAATGTCTGATGAGTGGAGGAAGGGGTCCAAGAACCCCTGGGCAGGGTGTGGGTGCCTGCACCCCGCCTCCTGTTGCCTCCACCCCGCACACTTCTTGGCTCCTCCCCCCCACCCCCCCCCCCGTTCTGGTCCTGCGGGTGGTGGGGACGGGCTGGGGGGAGGGACAGCCGTGGGCGGTGCAGGGTGGGTGGCGGTCGCTCCCCCTCCCCCAGCCGCTCCCAGCGCTCTGCATTATTACTCCATTAGCGCCTTGTAGGGTTGACAAATGAAGGATAATTAATATCCGAGAGGGAAACAGATGTTGAGGTAATTCGCTCCCCGCTGAGCATTTGCAACAGCATCTCTTGACTCGCCTAGAGTGTGGCGGGCCAGAGGGTCTCTCGGTGCCCTTGGTCAGAGGTGATGGCGCCAGCCGGGCTGGTGACCTCCACGCTGGGGCGGGAGCACCCCCGCTCTCCCCTCACCTTGGGAGTCTCCCCACCCTCGCCACTGGGAGATCCGCCTGGTGGCTCCCTCTCGTGACTCCCGCTGCCCACCTCATCCCACGCTCTCCTGCTCCGTGGGGGCTGGTGACCTGGCTCGGAGGGACTCACGGAGGAAGGGACCGGCCCCCTGCTGCCCACCTGCCTGCCCGGCAGCCCTGTGCCACCCGCTGGTGCGTGGATTCAGTTCCCAGCTCTGCCTCTCTCTGACCCACTGCCAGGGGAAGTCCACACTTCCCCCTGTTTTCACCCTCTGCAAACTCGATGCCATGGATTGTCTGGACCTAATATCAGGACGTACCCCTGCGCCAGGGACTCCTGCATGCGACTGAGTGCTCCCTTTGCATGCCTGGGCTCCATCCTCAATGCTGCATGGTTCCCTGAGCACTGTCCACTTTTGGACTCAGAGGTCTGCCGGTCTTGGTCTATGTCGACCCTTCACTCAGCTGCCCAGTAAGGAGATGGAAATAATAGAGCAACCGCTTTTCTCGTTTGTTCCTATTGTGTGTGTGTGTGTGTGTGTGGCGGGGGTGAGACCACGCCAGCAGTGCTCAGGGGTCACTCCTGGTGGTCCCCGGGGTACCACATGCTGTGTGGGGACTATAAACCAGGGCCTGCTGCATGCAAGGCAAGCACCTAAAACCTTGTCTGTCCATCCATGCCTTTTCTCTCTCTTTTTGTTTTTCGGCCACACCTGGTGGTGCTCAGGGCTTTCTCCTGGCTCTGTGCTCAGGGGTCACCCCTGTGGCTCCCAGGGGACCATATAGGGTACCAGGAATCAAACCTGCATCAGTCACGTGCAAGGCCAGCGTCCTCCCTGTGTGCTCTCTCTCTGCCCCTTTGCCTTTTCTCTTTTAATGGAGAAAACTCACAAGAGCTTTATACTGATCACAGATGCAATCCATCAGCCCTCTAATTTGGAAACCAACCCAAAATGTCAACACTGGGCTGCCTACAGAAATGGTGTCGTGCTTCTGTGGCAGAATACTACACAGCGGTGAAGAAGGACCAGAGTGGCCACTTAGCAACATGCTGGAGTATCTGATATCTGATGATACCGTGTCACACAGTGGAGTCACCATAGGGCCTTGGTGACAAGTGAGAGCAGTGGGTGGTGCTGAGCACTGCAAGGAGGTGCCACAAGTGGGTGCTTGTGGGGGGTGAGTGGGGGGAGGAGTGTCCCATTCGGCTCTGGGTGGAGAGCACAGTGTGCGGAGCCACACCCACCAGCTGTGTACATTTGGGAGCTCCGTTTCCACTTGAAAATAAGGATGGAGGGGCCGGAGCAATAATGCAGTAGGTAGGGCATTTGCCTTGCATGCAGCTGACCTGGGTTCGATCCCCAGCATCCATATGGTCCCCCAAGCACCACCAGGAGTGATTCCTGAGTGCGGAGCCAGGAATAAGCCCTGAGCATCACTGGGTGTGACCCAAAAAGCAAATAAATAAGAATGGAAACACCGTGTGGAATCAATAAGCAGAGCTCAAGAGTGAGGTCTGTATCACGACAACGGACAGGCAACGCAGTCCTGCAGAGTCTGTGTTCAGCCTTTTTAAATTTTTGTTTGTTTTGGGGGCCGCACACCAGGCAGGGCTGGGGGGACCCTATGGGGTGGCAGGGATGAAACCCAGGTGGGCCGTGTGCCAGGTTAGCTAGCGCCCTCCCCACTGTGCTTTCCCGCAGCCCTTTGCCCTTTTCTTTATTTTTTATTTTATTTTTCCCCCTGCTTTTTGGGTCACACCCAGTGATGCTCAGGAGTTCCTCCTGGCTCTGCACTCAGGAATCACTCCTGGCGGTGCTCAGGGGACCCTCGGGGATACCGAGGATGGATGCCCGGGGATGACCACGTGCAAGGCAAGCGCCCTCCCCACTGTGCTATCGCTCTGGCCCCCTCTCTTGAAAGGAACGGAGCAGTTCAGACCACACTCAGGCTCGCAGCCTTCCCCAGCTGTAGGGCCTGGTGCACCCCACCCACCCAGAGGCGAACTGGGGTGAGGGGACCTTCTTTACAGGAGTGGCCTGGTCTGGTGGACACTCACCCTGTGTGACCCCTGACTGCCTTGTCAGGGGGTTTTCCAGCGTCTGAGCCGGCGGGGCCTGCTGTTGAGGGGCACTGCGTCCGGCCCCATCGCGGGCGGGGCGGGGTGGGGATGGGGAGATCCGGGCTGGTTCCCCACCGGTGGGTGACGGCCTCTCTGTCGCCCCCAGGTGGTCAAGGTGGTGGGCAGCAACATCTCGCACAAGCTGCGCCTGTCGCGGGTGAAGCCCACGGACGAGGGCACGTACGAGTGCCGGGTCATCGACTTCAGCGACGGCAAGGCCCGGCACCACAAGGTCAAGGCGTACCTGCGGGTGCAGCCCGGCGAGAACTCGGTCCTGCACCTGCCCGACGTGCCGCCCGCCGCGCCCGCGCCGCCGCCGCCCAAGCCGGGCCGGGAGCTGCGGAAGCGCTCGGCCGACGACGAGGAGGCCTGCAGCCTCTAGGCCCCGCGGGACGCCCCTCGCCGCATGCGAGCCCCGCCCGCCCCCTGCGCGCCCCCCTGCGCGCCCGCGATCGCGGGCTGGACAAGGCGGCTCTGGGCACCCAGGGGACCGAACTCCCGGGAGGGGGGCGCGGTGCGGGGCGGCCGCCCCTCTTCGGCTTCCCTGGAGCCCAGTGTTTGCAATGCTTGCTTGTCCCCTCTCCCCCCCTGACATCCAGTCCCAAGCCAGGGCCACACCCCCCACCCCGCCCCCGCCGTGCTCTGACTCTTCCCGACCTACCCCCACCTGCGCTGGGCCCCAGGGTGCGGGCAGGGCCCTCCTCCTGCCTTTGGACTTGGTTCTGAGCAGACCTGGGCAGCAGCGGCTGGTGGGATGCAGAGCCCCCCACCCCCGCCCCCTTCGAGCCTGTTCTGGGGGTTCTGACCTTTCAAGCAAGGCACCTCGGGGTCTGTCCGTGGGGACACCGGCCCCTCCTTTCACCTAACCAACAGCTTCGTGCCACACCCCCTTCACACAGCAGTTCAGAAGGGGTGGGGCATCTTCCACCCACCACCCACCCCCTCGGACCCGTTGCCCCCTGCAGAGTTTTTGCACCAGCAGAACCCCTTCGGGGGTCTTTGAGGCTCCCTCAGGAGCCCCCTCTGCCAGCTCCCGAGGCTCCTGTCCTGGGGCCCGTGCCACGACCACCCAAGGGCCTGGGGCTGCCAGGGCCCGAGGGTCCTCCACTACCAACCTCACCATCCCTGGTGGTGATTTGTAAATATTTCTACTGGACCCCACTCCCCTCTGGGAACTGGCCGGGCCCTCTGGCTGCCCTCAGCGATGGCGCGGGAGGAGGTGGGGGGGTGGGGGAGAGGCAAGGACTCAGCCCAGGGGTGTGGGGGGGGTCCCGTGCACATGATCCAGTCTGTGACAACCAGCCAGCCCGAATAAAGCGGTTTAAAATAACCTGCAGGCCGTGTCTTCCTGGGGCGCAGGGCTGGGCGGGCGCAGCTGGTGAGAGGGGCTGGAATCAGCCGACGCCCTCGCCTCTGGCCTGGGCACCTTCTCCCTCCTGTCCCCCCACCCCCACGAGCACAGAGGGCCGGCGAGGGAATGTCAGCCCCTGCCCGGCTCCAGTCTGCTTGCCCTTGGATTAGTCTGACTTTGAGCCGGTCACACTCAGGGATGCCCACACGGAATGTGTTTGCACGGCTGTGAATCGATGCATCAGAGAGCGAGGGAGGGCTGAGCCCACCCCCAGAAAAGCCAGCACTGAGGTTCCAGCCCACCACGGGCCCCATCGCACCATTTCCGGGCGCTATGCCTGATCTGGGGTTCCACTTAGGGCCACACACCCAGTGGTGCTCAGGGCACCATATATGGTTCTGGGGATCACCCGGCCATACTCGGGGCATACTCAGGGCTTACTCCTGGCTCTGCACTCAGAGATCGCACCTTGGCAGAGCTCCAGGGGTTCATGTGATGCCCAGGATCCAACATGTAAGCTATGTGCAAGGCAAATGCCCTCCCTAGTGCTCTCGCCCCAGCCCCCCAACCCTGATGTTTTAATTTTTTAATAGTGTAGCAGTCCTGCTATTTATTCAGCCATTGATTAAGCTGATTGAATTGGACATGAACTCCACATTGTTTTTTGTTGTTCGATCACGATCACGATCATCCTGTTGTTCGTCGATTTCCTCCAGCAGGCACCAGTAACATCTCCTTCTTCCTAGCCCTGAGATTTTAAAAGAGCCATTTCAATGCTCTTTCAGGATTAGGAGAATGAGACCCATCATTGTTACTGGTATTTGGCATATTGAGTACAACATGGGAAGTTTGCCAGACTCTGCTGTGCGGGCAGGATACTTTTGGTAGCCTGCCAGGTTCTCCAAAGGAAAAATAAGATGTTGCGCGGCCACAAATGCGGCTGCACGTTTCTGGGAGCTGGGTTTTATAGTCTTCTGCATCTTGGCCGATGATGGAACCAACCTGGCGCTGGCTGCAGCTGGTGGGTGTGACACCTACCTACTGGGAGATGGGGGGTCTGGGTGGAGAAGGCCCAGTCCCAATCCAAGTAGGCTTGGAGACCTCAGCCCGGGACCGGCATGCCTGGGTTTTTTGTTGTTGTTGTTTTTAATTGTATCACCGTGAGATAGAGCTACAAAGCTTTTATGTTTGAGATTCAGCCATTCAGGATGGGACACCCATCCCTCCACCAGTGCACATTTTCCACCACCCACCTCCCAGTCCTCACCCTGCCTCTATGGCAGACAATTTCCCCAGTTCTCTCTAATTTTGACAACCTGATCTTTAAGCTCATCACCTGGTTAGAGTCGCTCACGCAGATTCGCCCCTTCCGTGTAAGCGCTCAGCAGCTGTGCAGCTAGCTGGACCCGACCCATCTCCCTAACCCGGGTGCCGGCGTCCGGCCTGTGCGCCTGCTCCTTGGACAACTCCAAGGGGTGAGTGTGTGCGAAAGGCCTCGGGTCGCTGGGTCTCTGTGGCCCGCCGTTGCGTGTCTCTCGGACACTCACTGTGTGAGTTTGCTGCACTGAGCAGCTGCCCAGCTGGGAGCGGCCTCTGGGCCATGTCCTGTGGGCCCAGGAACCTTCTCCGGATGCCTCCATTTAGGCCCTGACCTGGAACTCTCGTTTTTCTCCCCCAAAGGGCGCCATCTCCTTCCTGCACCCGGGGAATGGGAGGCTCAGAGAGGTTAGGGAGCTGCTCCAAGGCCACACAGCGGTTTGGCTTACTCTGCCCGTTCTGGTCCCCATGTCTGGACTCTGGACAACCCTAGCATGTCCCCGCTGAAGTTCCCACACACCAGGCTCTCCTGACAGTTGCGGTGGGGCTGGAGGCTTTTGGGTCAAGCCCTCCCAGCCAGGAGCCCACCCGGGGTCCCTGTTTCTGCCCCCTGCACTGCTCTAGAGTCTCAGCGGAAGTGTCCAGAGGCGGGGCAGGGGGAAGCCCAGGTGGGGCTGGGGTGGGGCTGCGGCTCCCGGGAGAGTGAAGTGGGGTCCTTTGTCCCTGTGTGTCCCAGGGACAGAGGAAGGAAGGGTTTGCCTGGGGAATTCCTGAGATCTGGGGGTCTCCCCTGCACACCATGTCTAGGGCCACATCCCTCCTCTGTTAGGGAACCCCCTCAAACCCACCCCTCTTCACTGGGGAGGCAGCCTGGACATAGGACAGAGAGCGAGAAGAGTCCTGCTCCCCTCCTGCCCTGCTGCAGGGCTCAGGCGGGACTCTGGGCCTCAGCCTTCCTTTCTGTACAGTGGGGACAATCCCAGGGAAATGCAAATCAACCTCGGGAGACACCACTCAGATGGCAAGAATTAAAAAGACAATCATCGTGGGGGCTGGAGCAATAGCACAGCAGGTAGGGTGTTTGCCTTGCACACGGCCGACCCAGGTTTGATTCCCAGCATCCCATAGGGTCCCCCCGAGCACTGCCAGGAGTAATTCCTGAGTGCAGAGCCAGGAGTAACCCCTGAGCATTGCTAGGTGTGACCAAAAAAAAAAAAACCCAATAAAATCACAGTTACGGTCCTCCCGTTGTTCATCGATTTGCTCGAGCGGGCCCAGTAACATCTCCTTCGTGAGACTTGTTGTTACTGTGTTTGGCATATCGAATATGTCACGGGGAGCTTGCCAGGCTCTGCCCTGCGGGCGAGATACTCTCGGAAGCTTGCCGGGCTCTCCAAGAGGGGCGGAGGAATCGAACTCGGGTCGGACATGTTGGCTGCGTGCAAGGCAGATACCCTACCCGCTGTGCTATTGCTCCAGCCCCCCAATAAAATAATAATAATAAAAATTGGGCTGGAGTGATAGTGCAGCGGGTAAGGCATTTACCTTGCACACAGCTCACCCGGGTTCCATTCCCAGCTTCCCATATGGTCCCCCGAGCATCGCAAGGAGAGATTCCTGAGTGCATGAGCCAGGAGTAACCCCTGTGCATCGCTGGGTGTGACCCAAAATGCAAAAAAATATATATATATACACATATATATACATATATACATATATACATATATATATATACATATATATTTTCTTGCATTCAGACAACGGACCATTTTTGGCATACAGAGGAGGGCAGTGGGGTTCTGCGAGGCACCGTGGGTGGGCCTGGGAGGCGTGATGCTGAGTGCAAAGGTCACGGCGTGTGGTTCCAGACAAGCCAATTGATGGTTGCCTTGGCAGGGCAGAGCGAGGAGGGAGTGGTGGTCTTGGCACAGGATTCCTTGGTGGGGTGCTGACACAAATCTCTGACGCTGTTACAAGGCACTGAGTTTGGGACCCTCCTGCTTTGCACAGGTGAGCTGTCTTGGATAAGCCCGGGTCTTCGGGCTGTGGGGATGAGGGGGCGCTGCAGGTGTGGCTCAGGGCCCCGTGCCCACGGGAGGCCTGCAGTGGCCCTGGCAGTGCCCCTTGGCCCGGGGTCCTGGTGGCAGCTTTGCTCAGGGGCGCTGAGCTCTGCGGCCCTGGGGGCTGGGGTGGGGCTGCTGGAGAGGTGGGAAGGGAAGTTGCTAAGGAGATCACCAGGCCCTTGTACCCCAAACAAATAAAACAAACACTGTCCTCCCGTTGTTCATCAATTTGCTCGAGCGGGCCCAGGAACGTCTCCATTTTGAGACTTGTTGTTCCTGTGTTTGGCATATTGAATACGTCACGAGGAGCTTGCTAGGCTTTGCCGTGCGGGCGAGATACTCTTGGTAGCTTGCCGGGCTCTTGGAGAGGGGTGGAGGAATCTAACCCGGGTTGGCCAGGTCAGCTGCATGCAAGGCAAACGCCCTACTGCACGTCTACAGCCATACCACCCTGAACGCGCCCGATCTTGCACCCCAGTATCACAATAACGCTGTCACTCCACATGGGCCCCCGACAGCCCTAAAGTGGCTCTCCAGGGGGTTCCTCTGATGAGAGATAAGACCAGAACAGCCTCCCCCTTCTGATCCCGAATTACTGCAGCCCCCACCCCAACCACTCTGACCTTCAAGCGCTCCACCCAAGGGGTTACTCCTGGCTCTGTGCTCGGGGATCACTCCCTGGCAGGAG